TTTATCTGCAGTTAGTTACATGAATTTAAAAATGGAGTTTTAATAAGTTGTACTTACGCAAAATTACTTGTAATCTTAAATTTTAAGTAATATGCATCAATAAACAGTACTTCATGCATAAAAAAATAGTTTTTAAGAGTTTTTGTCAAATGCTTTATAAAATAGTATAGATAAATATGTAAGAGTAAGTTGTAAATTTGCTTAATATAATAAAAATATGGTATGAATATACTTGAATTTTAAAAATTGATATGTATCTATACTATATTATAAAACATTTGACAAAAACCCTTAAAAACTATTTTTTATGCATGAAGTACTGTTTATTGATGCATATTACTTAAATTTTAAGATTACAAGTAAATTGTGTGTAAATACAACTTATTAAAGTTTCATGTTTGAATTTGTATAACTAACTACAGATAAATATCTCATTTTAAATATAAAAAATTTAAAATATAATTAGGATAATCATTGGGTTCTAACAAAATACTTAATTATTATCTTTATACAAATTTATATTTAAATCAAAAATAAAAAATGAATTTAAGAAATACATAAAAAAAGAGAAATTTTAAATAGTTAGTTTGGTTCAATATTTTATTTAATTTATATATATTTTCTTCAAAAATAAAAATATATCGTTTTCTCAAAACCACATAAAACTGTATTATAACATCGATTGAGGTAAAAAAAAATGAAACATTAAAATCGAGATTTATCTCGCTGCATTATGCAAATACCCTTCTAGTCAAATTAAAGAGCATAAAATATTGTTTTTTTTTAATATAATTTATTTAACTAAAATTAATTATATTTAAGATAACTTATAATTTTTAAAATTGAAATAAATCTTTGGATTTTCAAAATTTGATCGGTTTATATGAAAAAAGTATTATGGTTTTACAAAAACCTTTTAAGCTTTCATTTTAATTTTACAAAAATAATAAATAAAAATTAACATTTTTATATGTATTATTAATTTACTAGAAGGATACTCGTGCAATGCAGTGTGATTTATCTCGATTTTAATGTTTTGTTTTATTCTGTCAACGTCGATATGATAATACGATTTTATGTGGTACTGAAAAAACGAAAATGTTTTTATTTTTTGAATAAAATATAAATTTGAAGGCATCATAAATTTTTTTTAAAAAATGTATCGACTTTAGTATCAAATTAAATATATAATAAAGCCATTTATTTTTTGTTTAATAATATAATTTTTTGTAAAGATAATAATTAGTATTCAATGATTATCCTCAATATATTTTAGATTTTTATATTTAAAATAAGATATTTATCCAGTATTTGATTATGTTTATCAACAATTACTTATACGAATTCAAACATGGAATTTTAATAAGTTGTACATACATACAATTTACTTGTAATCTTGAATTTTAAATAATAAACATCAATAAATAATATTTAATACATAAAAAATAATTTTTAAGAGTTTTTATCAATTTATTTTTAAGAGTTTTTGTCAATTCCATTATAATATAAAATAAATACATAATAATTTAACAATTATATTTTTATCAGAAAAATATAAATATATGAATTTATTCTATATTTTATATTTTATATATAGATATCATCATATCATTGAAGATTGGTACAAAAGTATTTCATTACTTTTTATTTTAATAATATATGATCAACTCGTTGGTGCCAAAGAAAAGAAAAGAGTTTGCTTTGTGACTCATAACTCTAAAGTAATAACACTTGACCACCCCCTATACTTTGATCAATTTTCATCATACAATGTTACTTTTTCAAGTTTTACACTTTAAGTCCTCCTTGTTGTCGGGTCGTTTTTTATTAAACATTTCACAAGTCATAATGACTTACTTGATCGTTAAGCAACACTTATTTTATGTTTAATTTATAACTAACAATCGAAAACAACTGAACAAAATAAGTAATCACATATCTGTTGTCTACATTAAAGTTATCTCATTTCAGATATGTAGTAATAGAATAACAAAACAAAAATATATATTTAGAGAAATATATATCGACCATGCATATATACCTTTGATTACAAGGTATAAATACATGTAAATAATCATTGCTTTTTATAAGTATATGAACACGTTAATTTAAGGCGAAAGATCATGTAAAAAAAGGAAGTTATGATAGAAACGCAAGAAGAGATCTGAACACTTTCAATTTCATGAACACCCATGAATTCCATTTTAGAAAAGAATTGATTCGAGATGCTTAAACATACCTAAGACAGAAGAACAAATCACTTCTTCTGGTAGTGGCTGTCCTCCCTATCGCCCACCCAATGTTTACTATCAAGATTGGTTGCATCTTAGTGCATCTCATTAGTATTGACATTCAATTATGATTGATCAAAGGGTGAAAATCTCTTCTTACGCTTCTCATCATAACTTTTTTTCTCATCGGAACCCAATCCTTTTATCTAGTTCATGATAATAAATTATTGCTTCTTTGTAATACTTGAAACATGAGGGGTTAAAATAGAATATTTCCCAAACTTGAAGGTACTCATGTGCAATATAACCATAGAAATCTTATAATGACAAGTCAAGTTTCTTCAATATCATCATCTTCTCCAAAAACCCGAAAACCCCCACAAGACGTTGTCGTTTGTGTATTTCAATCTGTTTCACTCTGCCACATCGCCATGGCTGCAAAATTGAAGATAGCAGGGGCGTGGTCTGGTGTTTTAGAGGCTGAATTGGAAGCATGGACTGTGCCCTTATTGAAAGAACAAATTGCTAGTCGATTAAACTGTTCAAAAGATTCTATTAACCTTATATCTGCAGGGAAAGTGCTTCGAGACGATGATGGAGCCCAGAATCTGATCGAATTGGGCGTCAAAAATAATTCTAAGATTTTGGTCACGAGGGTTTCGCCTGATCAAGGCAAGGAGTTGATTGCTGAAGAGGAGAAGTCTAGCAGGCTTCAAAGACTCAAGTTCGTATCGTTTCTTTGTTTTGATCATCTTCTGTTTTCAATTTATGTTTTCTGATGGGTTATTTGAGATTTATTTGATTTCTTATCGTCATTCTACAGTGCTTAGAGCTTATCAACATTTTAATTTGGGAAGTCTTTGGTGATTTAGTTTTGATCTTGTGGATGGATCAATCGCTGGCTTAGACTTCTGATATTAAAACCTAGAAGATTTCAAATTCCAAGTTTACATGAATTCATTTAACTTGTATTTGTAAAGCCTGTTCCTAATTTAGTTATGTGATCGTATTGATTTTGAAGTATAAATGTAGGCAATTCGACTCTGAAAAGTCTATTGAAAAACAAATGTATCAAGAAATTGCAGGGCATTTTCAGCAACTTCCATTTTAGCTTTAGACAGAATGCTTAATTGCTAAAGGGTCTTGATAAAATCATCTACTGAATGAATAAAGTGGATCCCATATAGCCTATAAATGAATTTATCCCAATTTACTTCCAATTTCTTGTTTGAACAGATTATGATATGTAAGGAATCCTTCCTTTTGCTGCTATTATCACTATCCGATGCTTGGTTTCTAGTCACTTAGGGTGCGTTTGGTATGCAAGACATGACGTGGCAGGATGGTACAAAAACTTGGCCCACGTTTATATACTAGAACAGAAAATTTGTTGTCCCACATTTATACTGGGACAAGATAGGACATGAGTGGGAGAAAAATGCATTTTTCTGTTGCACCAAAATAGGTGGAACATAAAATCAGGGAGATAAAGACAAGATTAGTAAATTACTAAACTATCTATGTCCAACTAAAACACTAAAACCTTCAACCATTCATTCACCCTCTTACCTCAGTTCCCGTATATCCAGTCCAGCCCCTTACAGTCCTATCCAATCTCGTCCGCATACCAAATGCACCACTCACTTCATCATCAAACCCTAAAGATAAAATTTTATTAAATGCGTCCTTCAACCTTCTTCAAGAGGTTGATGCATGCAACCATGACTTTATCTTGGTTACAAAGATAAACCGTCAATAAACTGCTTGTGACACCTTCAAATTTTACAGGGCTGCTGCTACTTCACTGGCCAAGAGACATGCTGATGGTTTGATGCCAGTTGAAGACTTCAATCTTGAGTTGGAGAATCAGAGTGGAGAGAAAGTGCAGTTGGGATCTGAGAACGATCAACGGTATGATCAATTTAAGTGATGGTACAGATGGTTTACACAAAACTACAATGGGAAATAAAATTTGTCTTTTATCATGAAATTATCAAATTAAGGGGTTGTATATTATTTATCGACTCTGACCATAAACGGGAAATTGGCAGTGCACTAATGATGGGGCTTATGTTTCACGGAAAAGCAAAACGATTGGTCAAAAGTAGGAAGTATGAAGACGCGATGGAAGTTCTAACTATGGGAGAGGTTAGTTTTCACTTCTTTGCTCGTATTTTCTTCTCCTATGTGCTGTATTACATCTACTTTTTCTCAATAAAAAGGTAGAACCTTTTTCGAAGCAGAAGCGCTCAAATCCGTACGTAGAGGCCAGGTCTGCATGCGTCTCAACCCAGCCCCTACTTTCGAGTGGGATTTACTGGGTCTGTTTGGACTTTAGTTATCCTCTTTTGGGCCCTATCTTTATTTTTCTTACCTCTAGTAAATGGGAATCCACCATCATAATGACTCTTTTTATACCATATTATGGGACTCACAAAATGAAAATGTTAAATGACCAAGAAATATTGGACATTGGTTTTCTTCACAAAACTACTCTTTCATTTACATATTTTTTTCTTGTGATATTTGGTGATTTGGTCATGTTCAACCCCTAACTGAAATGCATCTTAATAATCCAAGTGGCTCTTTTGTAGGAGGCTTTCTCGCTATGTGATTCCAAGGTTGTTGAGGTAAGCCAACCATTATTAAAGGGTATTTCAGTCATTTAACTAATACCAAGTGGCCTCTGGGATAATGGCACCAGTCGAATTTTGCAACATGAAGGTTGTGAGTTCGACTCTTTCTAGAGACATGGGTGTGTGAGTTTGTATGTTGTTTCAAAATAAGTCATTTGATTAATAGTCACACACTTCTCCTAATATTTACTTTTTTGTAAACCTTTTGATGAGAAATTGCTTATGATATTGATTTTGGTCTGCACAAGATTCTCCCCAGACCCTAACTCCGAGTGGGATATCATGGGGTTAGTTTGGTTTTGGGCATAAGGAGTATATAGAAAGTTCTATTCTATCCTTTGGGGGTAGAGCTCAGGTCTGCGTCCATACACCCCTCTCTGACCCTGCTTTTGAGCAGGATATAATGGGTTTGTTTGGTTTGGTTTAGTCAGTACCGACTTAATTTGTCACATGGATGTATGATTTTACCATCATACCTTCTTTTTACATCTCTTCTTTTGTTTCCAGCTAATAGACAATGTCCCAATACTTCAAATAGATATGGTCTGGTGTTATTTTATGCTCAAAGACATCAGCAAGCTATCTGTAGCCGGAAAACGCCTTGAAGATGCTCGAAAAGGAATTGAACGCTCTCATGGGAAGCAATCTAGTCGGCTTAGAGTCCTTCATGGAAATTCCCATCCGGAGCTTGCACTGTAAGAGACTTTATTTACTCCCTCTGCTTCCATTATCAAGAGATGCACTTTCGCTTGACCACAAAAGGGGCTCCTTTAACTTCAAATTTGACATCAATGTTCTTTTAGTTTCGAGAAATAACTGATAAGTGACTCCTAATCAAAAGATAAAAAGACAAATTTTAGTTTAAAAAAATAGGGCAAAATGCATAAAAAATGCAACGAAGTTTGCCTTGGTTCTAATTTAGAGTAGCAAAGATTTTTTTCTCAATCAATGTAACAGAGTTTCAAAATTTCCTATTTAATGTAACAAAGTTTGAAAAAAATCTTGTTTTTATTTTGACCAGTCATTTGCAAATCTTGTAACATTTGATGATGTGGATGTCAAGTTTATTGTCCACTTCGCCATAACCGTTCGTAAACATTTTATAAACCTTTCGTAATCGGGTATCCACGTCATCAAATGTCACAAGATCAACAGGTTATCGGTCAAAATGGGTACACAATAGGAAATTTTGGAACTTTGTTACATCGATTGAGAAAAAAAAAATCTTCGTTACACTAAATAAGAACTAAATCAACTTTGTTTTTGACCAAAAAGAATTGATAACATAATTGCATCTTCCACCACCATCTCCTCTCTTTCGTCAAAACATCACTACTGCAACTATCTTCATATTCCCTTTCTTTCTCTGTCTCTCTCTATATATATGTATATATTTGTATAGGCGAAGGGTCGTGTGTGAAGGAGAGTTAAGATGAGAAGCGTAGGAAGGGGATCTGGACCCTTGATCACCTTTAATCTCAAACCCACCCATGAATGTCGCTTGATACAGGGACCTGGTGCATCTCGGTGCATCTCGTTCTAATGTGCATCTAAGGGTGGAGATCTCTTCTTACGCTTTAACTCTCCTTCTCACCGGAACCCAGTCCTATATGTATATTAATGACACTATTCTTCTGGTATAGGCACTTGAGATTGGAGTTGCTGGAAGGTATAGTGGCATACCATAGTGGTGATATCGAAAAGGCAAAGAAGTCACTGAACAGTGCTAGGAGTAGATGCTTGCTGGTTCGTTTTTCTTGATTTCTGACTTCATTTTGAAACCGATCATTTAACTTCAAACTTATGCGACGTTTTATATGATCAAATCTCGTGTGGGTATATAATATGTTATTTAATTGCAGCTCCAAGTTCCAGATGAGGAATTATCGCTGCTAATGGGGATGGGGTATGGGGAACGTTCTGCAAAAAGGGCACTACGCATGAACAATCAGGATGTTGAGCGTGCCGTTAACTTTCTTGTTGAGGAAAAAGCCAAGAAACAACAGAAGATTGAGGATGACATTCGACGAAGAAATGAAATCATGTAAGTATTTTATTTCCTAAGAAATGGTAGAGAATTACTAGTCATATTCTTGACACTACAATAAAATCGGCTTTAAATATGTCTAAATGTCATGATAGACTGACTTATATGAGTTAAGTTTATTGGACAGAACAATTGTGCGTTCTATGTTAAATTGTTACAATAAGTTTATAGGAGCTTTTGCTCTTCCTAACAATTCTAACAAGGGTTTAAGATACCTTTGAAATAAAACTTTCTTCAAGTTCTTTATTACATTAATTGAAAAAGTGTCTTATAAAAAATGTGTTTTCTCTAAAGTGTCCTATAAAAAAAAAGTTGATCCTAAACAACTTGTTAGGATGCCCAAACACGTCTTAACATCTATTGTAACACTTTTATATAGGACACACAATTGTTTAGTCCTATAATGCGGTCTATTAGGACGTTTAGACATATTTAACGTCCTATAAAGCCGATTTTGTTCAAGTGTGAAAACAAAATTTCCGACCTTGATACACAACAACCACAGGGAGCAAAAGAAGTTCGGTGTTACACCGCTCAAGAAGGCCGTGGATCTCCAGAAGTTAAAGGAATTGGTGTCAATTGGGTAAGCTTCTTGATTTTCTTTCATTTTTTTGCTTTATTCTTATCTAAACAAGATTTTTTCAGCACATGAACCAAAAACGTTTTCGTGCAAAATTTGGATTAAATGATTGAACTTTTGGACCATCGGACTTTTCTTTTTGTTGCAGAGTGTGATGTTATTGTTGCAAACTCGTTCTGTTTTATTGCATTTTTGCAAGAAAGATGGTTTATTTGCAATACAAGGCGAGTATAATGGTTTGATTAAGCTGATATGGTTTTTGATATTGGCAGTTTCGACAAAGAACTTGCTGCAGAGTCTCTTCGAAGAAATGAAAACGAAACTCAAAGGGCTCTCGATGACTTGACGAATCCCGACACTAATTCTGATATACAGGTAACAATTTGGGTTTTTTTTTTCACTGTTAACTTCTTGAAGGAACAGCAAGTGTTTCAACTTGAAAATTTTGTAGCTTTTTATTGAATCACGAAAGAAGAAGAGATTACGTCAAACCGGAGATGCTGCAATCGAGAAACTCACTTCCATGGGGTTTGCAAGAGAAACAGGTGACACTAACCAGTATCTTTGTAAATCTTTTTGTGGGATGTACCGGGTTCGTATGGTTAATTATAAGCTCTCATTGAGTTAGCTCGTTTTGCCCACGTCCGCAAAGAATCAAGCTCTTTCTGAATCTTTTGAGACAGAGGAAATGTTTGCGGATAGGGATGTTAAAGAGCCGGGTTGAGTTGAGTAGCAGGTCATTTGAGCTCGACTCAGAGAAAATAATATCATGCTTGAGGTCGAATACTTTTTCAATGTTTGAATTCGAGCTCGATAGTTAAACAAATTTAAGTTATGCATTATACTTAAAATTCAAGTTTTATAAGCTAATATTTGGGCTCGAACTCGAGATCATTTAACTCGTTTATTGGTTTGAAAAATGTATGCTTAAAATGGCTTGCTCAGCTCGACTCGAAAACTCTAATTGAGCTCGAGTTGAACATTGATGCTATGGAGCTCGACTCTGGTTAAACGAGCCTTATTTTGTGTTCGAGATTGACTCGAGGTCGAGAATTATCAAGCTCGATCTCGAGTAGCTCGCTAAAAGTTCGAATTGTTAAACCCCATGTCTGCAGATATATAGATTTTGTTTGGTTTGATTTGTAAGCAGAGTGCTGGTACGTTCTTTTATAATGTTTATTTGTTACGATTGGCAGTCGTGGCTGCTGTTCGTGCCTATGGAACCGAAGAACTGGCTCTAAATCATCTACTCGAGGAGAGTGTGCCAAACGGGGATGCACCAGCCAACAACATCGGTAGTACTAGTGGTGGAGGTCCTTTAGGTGCCGGTGAAACCATCCCAAATGACGGAGATCTATCGAGCTTTGAACAGGAAATAGATAGGGACGTGGAAATGGAAGAGGAACTTACGGAAGATTTACAAAGTGAAGATGCGTTTTCGGATTACGACATGGAACTTACGAAAGAAACCGAGGCTATAGAGGAGTATTTAGGGCTCGTATCGGTGTAATTGTCGAGATTCCGATGCACATATGATATTTGTACATGGTACCTCTAGTTTCTAAGTTATGTTGGATGATACATTATTTAGCGTTTAACGAACAAGACTTATTATTAGAAAATGAAAACATATATATTGGGTTTGATTTGATTTGATTTGATTTTTCTTGATCATCTTTCATTTCTTTTGTTTGTGCGCTAAAAGGTTGACTTTTTAGACCATCGTACTTGTCTTTTTATCACACACAAACCATCTTTCTTGCACCACGGGCCTTAAATAATATAACTAAGGGGCCGTTTATTAAACGCTTATCCGGTAAGTACTTACCGGGTAATTTTCCTCACCGGATGAACATGACAAATTATAGCGTTGACTCCTAATGCTAAACATTTACCGAGTACAATCTTACCCAATAAAATAAATTATAATGTTGACTTCTAATGCTAAACACTTACCGGGTAAGTATTTAGGTAAACGGACCCTAACTGAAGTGTTTTTGAATGGTTGAAAATGCACAAAGCTAATGTGGAGTTGAAAGGTGCTTTCCCACATTGCCAAGTGAATGAAAATGAGGAGCCAATAGCAGATGCATAAAGAAGGCCCTCAACCTGCTTTCAAAATCACGCAGCCATGCAATGAGCACAAAGCGAACTATTCTTTCGCCTTTTACTAAAGAATACCGTGTGCTCGTTGTATAAAGTGGCATACGCTTATTTTTGAAGAGGTGTTTCTTTTTGTGAATGCCTCCAACAATTTCTAGTTTAAATAAAAAATTGATCTTCAAACAATAGGTGTAAATGTAGTGTTTATACAATGGTGTTTCATATATGAAATGATTCTAAAAAGCTCTTGATTTGTGCGATTTTTTAAAAGCTTGTGGTTATCTTTAAATAGTATAGATAAACAAACAACCACTTGGATAAAGGGGTGTAAAATGATACGAGACAACTCGAGATCGAGTCGAGTCAAACTACTCAATACTCGACTCGAAAAGCTCGTAAGATACTCGATTATTTTATATATAATTAGTTTTAAAATATAATCAGTTTTTATAATAAAATTTGTAAAATATAAATAATAAACATGTCCTATATTTTTAGATATTTAAACAAAATTATGCATTTTATAATTATAAAACTTAATCAATTATTTTTTTATTAAAATCAAAATTAAAAAAAGACGAAGAAAAACTATAAAAAATGTTAGTGAAATTGTCCCATATTGGATGATTTTTACTACTCGCGAGTTTTCGAGTCGAATTCGAGCTTGGAAATTGGGTTTCGAGTTTGAGTCGAGTATAGCGATACTCGAGCTTGACTCGCATCATTTACACCCCTAGTTGGATGTAAAAAAACACCAAAATCAAACCCCATAAGGATAAGGACGAGGATGGTTATTCCTGGCTTAAATCATTTAGAGCATCTCCAATGGAGATTCTTATGAGAATTCTTTTTTGTACTTTTTCTTATCATATCACTTTTATTTTACTAAATTAAAACCTAAATAAAAGTCCACAATAGTAATTCTTATAAGAACCTGTTTTATGGGTCTTATGTATTTTTCCAACATCAACAACACATTAATGGTGCGATGAAACACGTAGCAATTCTAATCCCTATATAAAAAGGTTGTTATATAACTTAAAAGCCGCTTAACTTGACGGGATCAATTGATGATCAACAAGACTCATGGTCTAGGTTGATGACCTCTATTGCGTTTAGGAGGAATGTCTCACTAAGGTTGGCCCAAGTGGTCGAGCCTATATCATAGTTTATGACAGTGGAGGCCTATGTTCGTGCAGCCCTTGTGCAATTTCAAGCCGAAGAATTTTCAAGCTTCTATTTTTATTTGATTTATCATGTTAATGTATTTCTCCTTCTAAAATGGTCCCAAGAAACTATGATATCCCACTGCGGCATATATTGAGCTAGCTTACATTGAGCTAGCCCAAAACACCATGATTGCCCAATGTGGGCTATATTGAGCTAGCCTATGCCACCTCCTCTACCCTTTTGGCATCGTCTCCAATAGAATCCGACATACATTGATGTGGTTGCTGCAAAAGGGTAGTCTGCTATACAAGACCAAAGGACGGACAAATTATTAGCCTTGACGGGTTAGTTCAACTGACAATAGAACTTGGGTCTTTAGGATTCCGAAAGCCACCATGACCAGTAACATGTTTTGGTATCAAAACATTGTACATGGACAGGTCCCTCTCCCTCACTTATCTTTGTCAACCATATTTTTATAATAAAGCTCAATCTAATCTGATACGTTTACCTGATCTCACGCTCTATATAAGATGGTAAACAAAATCTATTCACATTAGTTGACAAAAAGTTGTTCAGAAACTAGTACAACATAACACTTTCTCAATATTTAAAGTGACAAACAATATTTAATTCTATCACAACTATAGAAGACAATGAAATTTAAAAATTAAAAAATTAAGAAATAAAAATAAAATTTCAAGAAATATATTGAACATTTTAACACTGTACTTAAATTTGAAATATCTAAAATCAAGTAGTTGTTGGAGTTGAATGTAATATTTTATAAAGATTTTAACTTTTGATACTGTATTTTAGTAAAATTATAGAGGATGTGTTAAAAAAATTCGCATTTGATCTTAAAAACATCTCTAACAGATTTTCCAAAACCAAGATTAAAAGTCAAAATTTACGAGAAAAAAATATGTTTATCTCCGACATTTTTTCTATTTTTGAGACTAGAATATGAATTATATTATTAAAATATTCAATACAATTTATAAAAAAAATTAATTTTCTCTCATAAATATTTAATTCCAAGGATTTTTATTGGCAGGATCATTAAAAAATATTTCTCTTTCCTAAGTAATTGTTTTTGGGGAATTATCTAAATTTGAAGAATTTCACCATTTCTTTGCTATTTTCTTTGTTTTGAATAACGTTTTGAAGAATCTGTTGGAACAAAAATCTTTAAAATCTTCATATTAAAAAAATCAGAGCATCTCCAACAAATTCTCTACAACCATTATCTATAATATCTTTGAAATAGAGAACCAAAAGTCAACATCTTTAAAAAATATATTTAATTCCAACAGATTTTATATTTCAGAGATTTCAACATTTATTATATTTATTAAAATATATCTATACTATATTATAAAGCATTTGAAAAAAAAACTACTAAATACCATTTTTTTATGCATAAAGTACTGTATATTGATGCATATTACTTAAAATTCAAGATTACAAGTAAATTATGCATAAGTATAACTTATTAAAGCTCCATGTTTGAATTCGTGTAACTAACTGTGGACAAACATAATCAAATAAATGATAAACATCTTATTTAAAATACAAAAAATTTAAAATATAATTAGGATAATTATTAAATTCTAATAAAATAGATAATTATTATTTTTATAAAAAATTATATATTAAACCAAATATAAATTACTTCATTACCTAAACCTAAATTAAATTATAATAAAAAAAATTAAATTTAAAAATGACATAAAACCATACTACAACATCAACTGAGATAAATAGTTAATTTGATACTAATATCGATATATTTTTGTCAATTTTGTTATGATATTTTCAAATTTATATTTTATTCAAAAATAAAAACATCATCGCTTTTTCAAAATCACACAAAACCATACTACAACATCAATTGAGATAAAAAATAAAATGAAATATTAAATAAAATGTATCCCGTTGCATTATGTGAGTACCCTTCTAGTTATAGATTTATAGACCTATTAATTTAGAAAAAAAAAATATTTTATAAAATAATAAATAATTCTATCTTATTTGTAGAAATGAATAAACAATTAACTTCTCTCTCCACACATCTATTTTTAGAGAATTCTCTACACTTACGACTGTTTCTTTATTTTAGATAACAATATCGATAATAAAATCGTTATTTTATTTATGGGTTAAATACATGAAATAGCAACCTACTTTCATAAATTTTCTTATTATAACATTCTATTTTTGTTTTTTCTTTTATTACAACAATGTACTTTTAAATTATTTTTTTATTAAGGCATCACATTTTAAAAATTTTACTCATTATAGTAATAGGTAACTTGTTACCTTTTAAATCGGTTAACCCCTTATTTTTTTTTTTGCTTGTGTGGCTTTAATGAGGTGATGTGAATGACACATCATTTGATGACTTAATTAAAATAAAAATAAAAACCTATTTCAAATTATTATTAGTGATTTTCATTTTCATTGCTATGATTTAAAAAAAACATTTAATTTTTTTGACTTTTTCTTATTAAGTTGCATACAAATTAAATATTTTAGAGTAAAATATTTCTTAAATAAATATGCTACATTATTTTCGAGATATATTTTGTTTGTAAAAAAAATTTAACCCTTCTTATTTTATGTTGTTAAAAAAATACATATCTTTTAAAGTTATCTCGAAAATGTTAACGAAATAAATTGTGTTTTATAATTTTTTAATAATGTTATATTAATAAATAATTCAAAAAACTCTAATTAATTTAATATTTTTATGGGTCTTGTAAAAGTTTTTGAACAAATATAAAATATTTCTTTAAAAGATAATATTTTTTTAGTAAAAAAATGAACAATTCTTATTTTATTTTTTCAAAAAACATATATTTTTTAAAAATATTAGCGAGATAAATTGTCTTCTACTAGTTTTATTAATATTGGTATATTAATGAATAATTTAGATTTTTTTAATTCATTTAATATATATATATATATATATATTATATAACATGTAAAATATCAAAATATTAACATTAAAAGTACATTGTTTAATAAAAATTAGTAGATGCTATAATAAAATAATTTTGAAAGTACAGTGTTGTAATAAGAAAGTCACATTACTATAGTACATGTGGACAACCTACGTAGACAATGGGGTGACATGGAAACCTGATATAATGTATAAATTTAAATCAAAAGGTTATCCAATTCTATAATGAGTAAATTTTTCAAAGTACAATGTTTTAATAAAAAATAGTTTGAAAGTACATTGCTGCAATAAGAAAAACTGGAAGTACAATACTATAATAAAAAATTTATGAAAGTAGATTATTATTTGATGCATTTTGCCCTTTATTTATTGTAAACAATATGTTAGAGCATCTCCAACAAGTTTTGTATAACTTTTCTAAAATCGAAATTTAAAAGTTAAATTTTTTTCTAAAAGATTATATTTAATTGCAACATATTCTATATTTTAAAGATTCCAACATAAATTATATTGTCATAATAATTATTTTGATTTTATCATCATAATATTTTTTATAAAAACTTTATATAAAATAAGAATAATTTAATTTCATTGGTGGAATTGAATAAAATAATCATTTTTGTCTCTGTTTATTAATTTTTAGAGAATTCTTTAAATTTATTTTTTTATATTTTTACTATTTTAAAGAACATTATAAAAAAATTATTGAAGTAATATAAAAAAGTTTTATTTTTTATTTTAGAAAATTTGTTGAAGGTATTATTAAAGATTTATCACTTTTAGAGAAATTTCAAATTGCCCCCTAACTTATAGACACTTTTGCAATTCACACCCTCACAAAACCCTAGAACACTTGTTTCAAACGAACAAAAACCCTTGGTCCCAACATCAAAATCAACCTTCCGAACCCTAACCCAGAATCCTTTCCTTCACAATCTTTCTCTCTCTCTCTCTGGTTTTATTACCGTTACCCATTTCTTAGACCAATACTTCTTCAATTTCTCCCAGTTAAAAAAGTATAAAAGCTTCGGTTTTTAAGTGGGTTATCGAGATTATTTTTGTGGATTTTCGCAATGGACGTAGAGAAATCTTTCACCTCTGATTTGGGGGTTTTGCAGAGAAAGATGGCTTCTTTTGCTGGAGTTGTGGCTTTTGAAACCTTTTTGGCTGCTCAGATTTCTCTTGCTTGCCTCGTCATGACGGTATAAAATAATATTGAATCCTTTATTTTCTCTTTTTAATTTTGGGTTTAATTTGCTAAATTATTGGTTAATTGACTTTTACTTGTATTTTGCTATGTAATTGGGGTTTTGCTTCCAGGGTTTAATCTCGCAATCTTTGTGTTCTCTTTTACTCATAATTACTGTGCTTTCTGTGTAAATTATTTGGTTGATTTTACTTGATTAAAAGGTTTGCCGTGTCTGGAGGCCCACCAGGTGTTTGATGCTTGGATCTTATGTAGTTTGGACCAGATTTGTTTCAAGTTCCTTTTCTGTTGGTTATTATGAAGTTAGGTTTTGCTGCAATTGAACTTGTTCCCCTCTTTTAGATTTGTGTTTGACTTTTGTTGATGAGAGTTTGAAGTTTAGTCTAATTTGTTCTTCCTTGTTTTGGAGTCTTCTTTACTTCTAAAGTTAACAGTAATCGGCTTTTTGAAACATCAATCGTCATTCTTGTGGAACTGCTAAAAGTTCGTAGTTTGCAAAGAATGAATTGTTTCGGATAATATATTGGAAATGTGAATGCAAAGTTTATTGATAAATGAATAATACATGTTTTTAGGCTAATTGAGGTTTCCTTGTTTTTGGGGTTCCTCTAATCTTGAAGTTAAGAATTCATCAACGATTTTGAATTATTTGTGTTGCAAACAACATGGTTCTCTTGAAAATACCCCAAATCATCTATCTTTGCAAATTGTCCTTTTCCATTTTGACACGAACGAAGGTTGTTTGAGGGATGACTCAATCGATAAGACCTTGGTTTTACCCCCAGAGGTAATCGGTTAAAGTCCCAGGGCCATTGGAGGGTTTGCCCAACTGATAACTTGATGGCCCCATGAGATTAGCCGAGGTGTGTGCAAGCTTTCCCCGACACCTGCAGTCAACCAAAAAGAATGAAGGTTGTTTGCAATGCAAAGTCAGTATGATGGTTCAAGATACCAGTAATTCTTAAACTTGATGGTCTTGGCAAGATTTAGGTTTCTTAAATTGGGCATAAAAAGTTCTTCTTTTGAACTTTAGCGAACTTATATTGCTGCTAGCTAGCTTCATATGGATACAAAAGCAATTTTTATGTTCTTAGTTCCTCTCACTTTGTTTGATTCTTTTTCTTTCTATACTTTTGACCACTAGTGGTATTGATATAAAGATGAAAACTTGTGTAGTGATGGGATGCTTAGAGGTGTAAGTAAAGATTATGTTTTGGTTCTACTATGCAGCTAGAGGTTGGTGGAGAAATGGAAACATCTATTTCCTTATTTGACTAACTTTATGATTGATCTTTTGGACATTGTGAACATCGAGTATCTTCGGTCATTCACTGGAATTTATTCAAAAAATGAATTTCTGCTTTTACACCAGGTTGGTTTCGATAGGGATTTGATAGAATTTGGATCAAGATGTTCCACATTTCTTGAATTTTATGGCTATCATTTTTCATGATTTCTGGTTCTTGCTTTTTTGTTTTTGCTTGATATTTCTGGGTCATTTTTAGTTCCAAAGATTTCTTTTCCATTGCTTAATATTCTATTTAGATCAATGCACAACTCATCTATCCTCCTGTTGCATATAAACCAAACCAAACTGACCGAGTAAATCCCACTCCAAAGCAGGGTCTGGGGTGAGATGCACACTGACCTGATATCTACTTCAAAGAGTAGAATCTCCTGCTGCATATAAACCAAACCAGACTGACCCAGTAAATCCCTTTTGAAAAGCAGAGATAGGGGATGAGATGGGCGCATACCGGACCTCTACCTCAAAGAGTAGAGCCTCTTGCTGCATATATTCTACTAAATTTACTATATTTACATGTTCTTTTCACTAAGATCCTGTGAGTTTGCACCTGCAGACAGGATTTCTACTTCACGATGCACATACATTGGCAAGTGTGATTGGAAGTGATCGAAGGTAGTTCATGATCTCCAAACAGCTTTTGTTTTCTAGTGGGGCGGTTTGAATCAGAAACTTTGATGGAAAATTTTGCAGGTTTCCTTTTGCTGAGCTTCACAAGAAGGGCACAGCTGAAGCTGAGGCGAAGGATGGCAGTGACACAGAAGATGACGATGAAGACGACAATGATGCAGAGGAGCCCGATGATGAAGATGGTGGAGATGAAGATTTCTCTGGTGATGAAGGTGGAGATGACGATGATGATGATGAAGGAGATGCTGGGGAACCTGAGGCAAATGGCAATAAAGGCAGTGATGATGATGATGATGATGACGACGAAGATGACGATGACGACGACGACGACGATGATGATGAAGAAGAGGACGATGAAGATGATGATGATGAGGAAGAACAACCACCAGCTAAGAAGAGAAAGTAAAAGGGGGTAGATCTTCCTCTTAAGATGTTTGATTATGAGGTATGCCCAAGAGTATGTAGTAGGGAGGGTTTAACATTTTAGTTTGGTTTTTGTGCCATTTCAATTGTAGGGTATTTAACCATCTAAAACCCTTGTTTCCAATGGTTATCATGCCTTTTTATGCAAAATCTGAGGTGGGATTTGTGTAACTCAAGTTACTGTCAAATGTTGGAGTATTTACAAAAACAATCGCTCGACCATTTGAGGCAGATAACAGGTTTGCATATAGTTGTCATCTCACCCTCAGACTCTATTTTCGAGTGAGATGTACTGGGTTCATTTGGTTTAGCATGGTCAAATGTTTCTTGAGTTCTTGTCATTTGAAATTTTGAATGGCAGGTTCCGATGCCATATGTTGATTAAGTCAACTGTTTTCATGAAGCAAGTCTTGCACCTAATAGCCTTTTGCACATACCTTCATCTTTAAGGTAGGGAGATGATCTTACCTTTTCTTTGGGCAGAGATCAGGTGTGCGTACATCATCGCTTCCAGACCCCACCTCTTTTTGGGATATCCTTGGCTCGTTTCGTTTGGTTTGGTTTAAATTATTGTATCTTCAGGGTAAAGGTCATGTTTGTGTATATTAATACCCAAACCTGGCCTCGAGGCTCCATGTGGTATGTACTATATATTGTGCTTGTTTGGTTCGGTTCGGTTCGGTTTCGTTTAGATGATTGTATATTCTTCAGGGTTGAGGTGATATCTGCATACATCATACCCTCAAACCTATATTCCAATTAGATATACCGACTTTGTTTGATTTGGGTTGGTTTAAACGATGGTACAATTTTAGGGGCTTGTTACAACCACATTCATAGATATGATTAAATATCGTATTCTCATGTTGTGGGTGAGGTGTTAGTGGTGGCACTAAACACTCGTTATGCGAGTACCAAGTCCGTCTGAATAAGCGACTCGAGTGGAAGAACTTGAACGAGAAACTTAAAAAGTTTGTACATAGAGTTGTGACACTACGTAATTAGTGGATTGAGTTTTCTTGAGAACCAAAGTTATTGTGAGAATGATAAGAAGTAATCTCCATCTTTGAATCAATCATAATTGAAAATCAACACTAATGTGGTGCATCGAGATGCACTGGATCAATTCCCGTGATAAGTGCAACTTATGGAGTCGGGGTGAGATTAAAAATTGATCGAGAGTTCAGATCCCTTCTTACGCTTCTCATCTTAACTTTTATTCTCACATGATCCTTCGTCATAATTGGTATGGAAATCTTTTTATCGTATATTGACCAAATTTAATTAGTACTGTTTTTTCCCAGCTGTACATGTTGGTAATGGTAATATACAACATTGCAAACATGTAAAAATACAATAAATGAACAAACGAAGTCCAAAATTACAATGTTTAATACTTCAAAAACTAATACACTGTTTCAAGCACATGTTGTGGGAACTGAACATTTCTTCGAACATGTAATAAAACGTACGAAGTTGAAAGAGAGCAATGGCGTGTGAGCGTAATTAAAGTGCCGTTTACCAAACGCTTACCCAGGTAAGCGCTTACCAAGTCACTTTATTTTATCAGATGAATATGTCAAGGACTAATAATCTTACCCGGTAAGAGCGAAGGCAAGAATCGAGAGTCGTACCCGGTAAGTGAGGGCGACCACTCTTACCATGGTTAGCACTTATCGAGATTAAATTGTTGCGTACGATACGTTTTAGTGAATAAAATCTTACTCGGTAAGTACACGATAGTGTTGATTTTTACCGGTTAGTACTTACCGGGTAAGTGTTTAGGTAAATGGCCCCTAACTTAGAGATAGACAATTAATTGTAACTTGCGCAAATTAGAATTAGAAAATGAGAAAACTCTGAGTTAGGCCGCTGTAATTAAACAAGTATTAATATATATAATAAAATATTAAAATATATAGATATTGATATGGTATTATCTTGATATTAGATTTTTCTAATATCATGTATCAACTAAGTTTAAATACTTAATAGTGTTCGGGCATGTGATCAGGATTTTATGTTAACAGAATGTAAAAATTGTTTTTATTGAATCTATACTATATTATAAAGCATTTGACAAAAACTCTTAAAAATAATTTTTTATGCATAAAATACTGTTTATTGATGCATATTACTTAAAATTCAAGATTACAAGTAGAAAGTGCATGAGTACATCTTATTAAAGCTTTATGTTTGAATTCGTATAACTAATACAGATAAACATAATCAAATGCATGATAAACATTATTTTAAATATAAAAAATCTAAAATATAATAAGATAATCATTGAGTTCTAACAGAATACTTAATTATTATCTAAAAAATTATTTTATTAACTCAAAAATAAATAAGTTCGTTATTAAACTTCAATTAAATTATAATAAATAATTGAAATAAATAAATTATACAAAAACAACTTTTAACTAGTTAATTTTATACTAATATCCTTTTCTTTTTTAAAATTTTATAATATTTTCAAATTTATATTTCATTTAAAAATAAAAACATTTTCTTTTTCTCAAAACCGCATAAAATCGTATTATAACATCGATAGAGCCAAAATATAAAACAAAACATTAAAATCAAGATGTATATATTACTGCATTGTATTTTTATAATAAAAACTATGCAGAATCTTCCTCTGTTTGGTTTTTATAATAAAAACTATGCATAATCTTCCTCTGTTTGGTTTGCAGGATTTGGATTGGATTTGAAATCCATTCCTCTGTTTGGTTTGTAGGATTTGAAGGGTGAAACTAGGCTTATTCCGATCATATCAATTTGCCTTTGCTTATTCCGATCATATCAAGAAGTCCAGAATCTTCGAGGTCTGTACAGGCTTATTCCGATCACCTTTTAATACTTCGTATAATTTTTTTTAACCTAATATGTGTTCATGTATATTCAACCTAATCTGTCAAAATTGAAGGATTTAACCTAATCTGTGTTCATGTATATTCAACCTAATCTGTCAAAATTGAAGGATTTAACCTAATCTGTGTTCATAGTTTAGAGAGAAATCGAGAAGGGGAAAAGGGGAAAAGGGATTTACCTGTTGAGCGACGGCGGTGGCAATGGAGACGAAGGGCGACAACGGTGGCAACGGAGACGAAGGGCGACGGCGACGACGACGACGGTGAGCAATGGAGGAGCGATGTAATCTGTGGCGACGGAGACGAAGGGCGACGGCGGTGGCAACGGAGACGAAGGGCGACGACGGTGGCAACGGAGACGAAGGGCGACGGCGGTGGCAATGGAGACGGTGCGCAATGGACGAGAAGGGCAAGAATGAAATCCCACAGGAATGGATTTCAAAATTCCGTGTATTTTCAAAGGATTCTCAAATCCATAGTTCACGGGATTTGAAATGAATCCCAGGATTTTAAATCCTACCATTCCTACAAACCAAACGCAGGATTGGAATGAATTTTAAATCCAAATCCCTCCAATTCCTGCAAACCAAACACCCCCTTAATTAACTAGGTTTTTTGAAAGAGAGTTAACAACACCGAGTCAAATTCGAAACAAAATGGCGGGATCAAAAAATGAAACAAAATGATAACCATAGAACCAAAAGTGTAATTTACTCAAAAATATACAGATTTATAAGTTGAGAGTAAATAATTTGTATTTTGTTAAAATTGAATTTGTATATTTAAATTTTTAAGTAAATTACACTTTCGGTCCCAATGGTTGCCACCCTATATCAACTTTCATCCATCTTTTTAACTGATTACACTTTTGGTTATTGCGACTGAATTCGGTATATGAAACGAGACAAAACTCATTGTCTCACGTTTGACGCAGCATGAGGCAGAACAAGAACTGATTGTCTCACATTTGGCACGACATGATACATGGACAAGAACCGGGACAAGGTAGCACAACATGAGACAAAATAGACTTTTTCTTCTTCCACCAAAATAGGTGGAACAAGATGAGACATAAACTAAAATATTAATAATCTACCCTTGTTTGATATATAACCTTAATATGGTATTTGTCTTAATGATTATCACCGCTAATTTTGGTCGTCGCCACCACCGGCGGCCACCTCCATCTCCACCTCCACCTTCTCTTCCACTAAAACAACATCCTCCATCGCCTCCACAACCACCGTCCACCAAGTCCATTGCCACCTCTACCATAGTCGACCACCAACCACCACTGTCCATTGCCACTTCCACTATCGTCGTTCTCCACCTTCAACTCCTCCTCTACTACAACAACCTCCTTCACCACCATCCATTGCCCACCACCACCCATTACCACCAACATTATCACCGTTGGCCACCTCCAAATCCTCCTATACCGCAACAACTTCTTCCATGATCTCCATAATCACCGTTGACCACCGACCACCACTGTTAATTGCCACCTCTACAACCACCAGCGGCCACCGACCACCACCATCCGTTGCCACCACCACTACCACCGTTGGCCACCTCCCTCCTCTACTGCAACAACCTCCTCCACGACCTCTACAACCACCATCGGCCACCACCATTTATTGCCACCTCACATCCACTATAACCACCACCACCACTATCTTCACTACATCAGCCACAACTACATCCTCTATAATTATCAACCGCCACCACCACCATAATCCACCATCTTCATGTCCTCTATAGCCATCGTTGTCCACCAACCACCACTGCCTCTACCTCCATAACCACTGTCGGCCACCCACCACCACCCCCATTACCACTACTACCGTCAGCCACCATCTCCTCCACCATAACCAAAACCATTAACCACCTCCACCATAACCAAAACCACCTCCACCACCACTACTACTACCATCATTTATATCAAATTTTTCATTTAAATTTGGTACAATTATATATGTATGTATTCATTTATATGAAAATTGTGTACAAATATTTATAAATTATATTATTTAATTATTTACTTTGTTTGTGTTAATTATAACTATTATATATATTTAAAATCATCAAATAATTTTTGAAGCTTGTCTAGTTCTGTCTCGTCCAGTCCTAGTCGTACCAAACACCAGACATACTCTTGTTCTATTCAGTCCTGTCCCGTCCAGTCCTACTCCCTTGTTCTGTCCAGTTATGTCACATCATGTCTGCGTACCAAACGCTACCTGTAGTTGCTATTTTGCCTCACTTCTAGTCTCTACGAACTTCTATTAAAAACTTCCATTAGCCTAGGGGTA